TTAGTTAAATAAATAGGGGAGAATGAGGATGGAATGGGCATTCAGTGAGTTGGAACATTTGCAAGTAAAAGAGAAATCCTCTGTGAAAGGGAAACTGTTGGAGAACTACTTTTCCTTGTTGTGTTTAGTTTGAATAAATTGGTAAAGTTGTAGCTGAATTGGTGATGTTTCTATGTTTATTTATTTCACGATGACTAAATTCATAATCATGTGTTCATGTAGGTTAGGGTAAAAAATCTTAAACTTGTTGGTAGTGATGGCTGGAACCTAATGCGAGAAGGTGAAGCAGAGAAGCAGGTCTTGCATTTTGATTCCTAACTGGTTACTTTTATTTCTCTGTTCATGGTTTGCAGCTTTGATTCATCCATTGTTTTATCTATGCATACATCCTAACTTACAATCTTAAAATTGTGTAGAAACAATATGCTGCTTTGGTGTGGATTTCTCGACCTCTAAAGGATGAAGATTTTCAATGTGTTTCTTCTCTCAAGGATTTGGTGAGCTTTTATGTTGTGTATTTCTTGTTATCAAACTTGTATTTTGTAAAAGAAGTTTAACATACAAAAGCATCACTTGTGTTGTTTTTGATCTTTTTTGCAAGTCTGCATAATTCGATTTAGGCTGAGTAGTGCTCAAAATTGTGTGTCTACTTTTGTAATGCATGCTGATTTTAATTCTGTCATTAAAGCCTGTGATTTATCCATGTCTGTTATGACATAGCCCAAAAGAAATAGTAAGAACAGTGAGAGAAAAGAGAAAACAATTCATCTCTGCCAAGGAAATGGATCCCTTCAACCAAGAAATCAGTCATTACAAATGAGTATCAAAATCTGACCCTATACAGTATCTGAGTTTCCCTATATTTATATTTATCCCTAGGTGCAAAACAAATTCCCTTCAATTACTAATTGTCTAACTCCCTTCCTTTTCCTTCTAGTGTACACACACATTAAATATATGCATGCCATGAATCCATTTCTGTGTAGTGCTTATATAATTATATTGATATGCTATTGCATCATGTTTTGATGTAAATACTGCTACAATTGATTAAAAATAGGTCCTATTGTTCTTACTAGTCAATTTGGTTAATGTTGTGATTGTTGTCCAATCAATCACATACATTAGTATCAAATTTATTTTCATCTAAAAACCTGATGGAAATAATAGATCCCAAGTTTCAACTTCAAGATAAGATTGAGGAAATGAAGCATGATAATTGATTTCATATTCTTGACTTCTTTGAAATTTTTTTATAGCTTGAGCAAGGTTCTTTAATGGGAATCAACACCTACCACATAGAACCACCTAAATGTATGTGAAGCTTTGGTGGGTTAAGTAGAGTTTTTTAAGCAAGTAACCATCAAATACAGTTCTTAGCTTTTGGAAATCAAGTACAGTGTAGATGGAATCGATAACATTAAATATAAATGCTAGACTTATAGTTAGATGTTGTCTTGATTTTTTTTATAATGTTAAAAGTTATTACTTTAATGTATCTTTATGTAATTATATTTGGACAAGAAGCATACAAAACACATAAATATTATTATAATTATAAGTAGAATTTACTAAAATAAGTGATCCTACACTACAAAAAAGGTATTGATTAGTGACAAAATATCAAAATATTTTGTGATTCGGTTTAAGTTCCCTTTAATACGTTTTTAGTCCCTACATTTTAACATAAAGCCACATCACTTTTGGTAAGTGTAGCAACTAAAAATCTATTAATTTTTTTATAAGAACTAATAACAAATTTTTGAGATATTTGGAAGAACCAAAAGCATTTTATCGCCTTAATTTTTTTTTTTCTGGTAATCATATACAGTTTGCTAGTGTGCAGTGCTATGCAATTCTATTGCCATATTCAGCATTCGAGCTTAATTGAATTTACTTTAGCTTGGTCATCACTCTGCTTGTTTCAATTAGCTTGGTCATCACTATGCTTGTTTCAATTTGAAATAGTTTCTGAAACCAAAACCCAAAAAGTGAACGCAAAAAACCCATGTTATATGCTTCCTAGTTTTGCAATCTCTTATGACTGAACTTTTCTATTCTCAAAAAAATAATATTTAACTATAAGTAAATAAAAAAATTATGTTGTGTAGTTTGACAGAAAATGTGAGAAAACTAAAAAAATGGTTTGCGGCATATATTTTGTAAAGGATAGACGTTAGAAAATTCAATTACTTTGTGGCGGTTTAAATCACTACAAAATGCATTTTAATGTATACAGTTTCTGATGACTTTAAACCGCCACAAAGTTCATCTAAGTTTTTCTTGATTTAACATTTTTGGCAGTTTTAAACCATCACAAAATTGCATTTTTTTTATCTGCCTCACATTTTTTGATATACAATTATGATGAAACGGCAAACCACAAATACTCAGTATCTTTCCCTTTAATCTCTTTCAATTGCAGAATCTTAGCACAATTGTTCATTCTTTATTCTTTATGTTTGTGTGTATGTTAAAATTACCTTTCCAAGTTAGTTATTTTGTGTTGGCAAAACTCATTATTGGTTTTATTGCTCAGCAAAATTGATCACAAGTTAAGGAAGAACACAAAGTTCAGAACCTTTTGCCATAGTGTGTACAAGGTGATGATCCATGAGAGGATCAGTATAGTTACACTAGGACCCCTGTAGAAGAGGGCATTGGGTTCTTAAATCATCAAATACTTAACAAATGTTGCTTCCATTTGCTAGCTTAGAGGAGCTTTGCTACTAAATAAAAACTTGGTTTAATCAATTTCTTTTACCTCTATAATATCATAAACTTTACTTTTAGTTAAAAATGTTCAATTTAGTCTTTATGCATTGTTCTTTTTTAATCTTTGTCTTCTATTTGTATAGGGTATAAAATTTATGAAACTATAAAAAGAAGGTACACTAAAATAAATTATTTTTAATTATAAAAACTAAAAACTAAAGTTCATGTAACTATATCAGATAAAAGGATAACTAAAGCTAAAAATTTCTACTAAAATTGGTAAACATAACTGATTTTGGTCTTATTCTTTAATATCAGAACAAATTACACTCACATTCCATGTAATTTATTTAAATTGCACACAATACCCTACCTCTTTAATCCATGCAGTTTATTTAAATTGCACACAATACCCTGCCTCTTTAATCCTTATGGCAATTCTCCTAAATTATTTGAAAGACATTAAGCTGTTATACCTCTCTTTCCTAAGAAACACATTACACCTAGTTTCTCGTATAGTGCACTATGCTAGTATGATCTATTTATATTATTATTTGAAAATAAAAGATATTTTAGAATTTAGAATGCAGTATGCAATATTTTTCTTGCTTATAACACAATGGCATAAAAGTATGTTTAAAAATAACATTATTTTATCTTATAGGAAATAAGTTGAAGCTTCGATGCATTTTGGGTTTTAAATATACCATCCAAGCTCTGACACAGCATAGGGAAGACCAAGAACACGAGCTCCAACCATGGCAGTAACATTGTGGAAAGCTGAGTACCACCATTTGGAAGCCACTCTTCAATTTTCCTATCCCTCTCTGATTTTTCCTATTTTATCAACAAACAACAAATTAAATGAGCCTCAACTTCAAGCTACACAATGGCATAAAATCACTTAAACAAGGGGCTATATGCTAAAAAGGAAATACAAGAAAGTGTGTAACCAATTCACAATAGAAAATCTTATGAGGCGCTACTAAGATGATTTAATCAAACATAACACATGTATACAATGTTTGCTTACCTTATAAATGCATTCTTCTCTAAGGAATGATTTTGCACTATCTCCACTTTGCCGCCCTGAAAGAGAAGTGAATGACATATAATCCAAGTCTCTAAGGAATGCAACTGCAGCTTCTCCTCCAAGTCCAGACTTTAATGCATAACAACGCAGTAACTGGGAACTCATGAAGCTTGCTGAAGCAGACACTGACACCGCCTTCAGTGTTGTTCATATGGTTACTTCATCCGGCACAAGACCTTCATCAATCATCAAAGCAAAAAATTCAACCACATCACCAACCGCATCACAATGAGACAAAGGTCATCAATGAGTTGAAACACTCCAAAGTTCTCTTGGGAACGCATTCAAATACAGCAACAGAACTCTCAATGTCCCTGCACTTTCCATTGAATGAAGAGTTTGTTTCTTTAATGCAAGTGTGAAATAATTTTCTCCATATAAAAACTGGAATGAAATATAGATAGAGAGAAATGCTAAAAAAAAAAGGGAAAGAAAAAATATATGCAAGAGGAATGAGACATAAGAAATGAGAAAAAATTAAGTTAGTAGCTGGAACTAGAGCTATTTAATCAATATCAAAACTATATTCATCAAACATATAATTATATATTACCTTAATGCCAGCTTCAATGCATACTCTCACAGCATCCTTGACTCCAGGGCGACAAGGATCCTGAACATTTAGATTAATGTAGTTAGAGGAAGGAATACACTATAGACGATTGATTTGAAAGCATAAGGACAAAGTAAACTCCAAAGCATTAAGTTGATATATCAATACCATTACCAGCTTCTAAATGTTTGTATAAGAATACTTTCAACATCAAAAATTGCAATATTCATTACATGTGATACTGAAGTACATTTAGATCATCAGGGTTGTCATACTTATGCATCCTACCAAAAATTGGATGGGAGGAGTTGACCAGTAAATCATGAATTCATAATACAGATTACAGAAAAAGAAAATAGATACACCTAAAGAATATTTTGCACCAATATGCAAAATACCTTTAAAATCACAACATGCTTATAAACCATTATACAAAATAGGAATTCTGTACTTGGTATAATAATTGGTTATGTGGCTCATTGTCTAATATCTTGGCGAAAAAGAAAGTAGAGTGTACTGTGTTTTTTATTGAGTGAGGATATTTCCCTCAGCTCTCCCGAGTCCCCTCCAACCATTGCTAAAAAAGAAGACCCACAAAGCAAGAGATACAACAGTTTTAGTCTTGCAGAAAGGTCTGGCATCATGGTTATAATCATAGATTTCAATAATGCCTACCATCATCTTTATGTCAGCAAGCCACTGTCAGTTAGAATATATCTAATTTTAGGGTACATTTGGCCTTAACTTTCTTTTTTTTTATCCTTTCTTACCCTTAAAAGGAAAAAGCTGAGTCAAGGACATTTGGAGAAAATCTCTTGAAAAATTAAGGTGTTTAATTTTTGTAAAAGAAAATGGGGAAAAGTAGCTTTAAAAAATAGCCTAACTGATGTAGCTTTTAATAAAATTCCCCTGAAGATTACGAGTGTACCCTCAGGCAGGTACAGATAAAATATCATATATTAACATTTATCGAAAGAAAAAACTATAATTTTTAACATAAAAAAATGATAATGTAATATTTAAAATCAAATTAAACCAAATCAAAACAAATCACAAAAAAGTTTAATTTTACCTTTTTAAAGTTATATCTTAAATAAATAATTTAATATTATATATTTTTAACAGATGTTTAAAATTGTAAAATTTGAATTAAATTAAATTAAATCACAAAAAATTGGTTTAATATGATTTGAATTTTACAATACATTCAAAATGATGATATTTATTTTTATTTTTTTGACTTAAATATATTTTAAATTATTTAAATTTAGGATAAATTTATTTTTGATGTCTCAAATTTAAAACTGTTATTTTTAGTTCCTATAATTTTAAAAAATTTGTTTTAATCTCTCAAGTCACCAATAACATATCTAGAAGTAACAAATTAAAATAATTATGTAATATGAATTGATTTAATGCGATATTTTTACTAACAACAATACTAATAAATAGATTTTTTATGTTAATATTTTACGAATTTCATGACAAAATTTGAATGTAAAAATTAAAATAATTTTTTTGAAACAATAACTAAAATATTTTTAAATTTGGGAGACTAAAATTAAAATTAGCTTAAATTTGAGTGACTAAAAATATATTTAAATCTATTTTTTATTTAATTAACTTTTAAGAAAATAACCAAATCAAACTACAGCATGATACCCATAAGACTCGGAATGAAAATTATTTTGCATATAATACTGATATTATAAAATTGTTATTATTATTATTATTATTTAATTTTTATTTAATATTCTTTCTAAGTTGTAACAGATGATCGTGGGACGAAAAAATAAAGTATATTGTGTCCGCTCGTGCAGGGCGTGGAAAGTGAGGGGAAAAAAAATAATCATTTATTATGACTGTTTTTTTTATACCTATTGTTAAGATTGTTAGTCAATGACTTTCATTTTTGCGGTTTTGTTATATTGCCAACGTGAAGCGCGAGGCTAACTTAAGGCCGTCACAAAGAGTAGATCTCAATACCTTCCTACATTTTCTTCGGCTGTAGTCTCCTTTATAATTTGAATTTAGTTTTAATTAAAATTCATTTTAAAGTCATATAATTTATTTAAAAAAATTTTAAGGTTAAATATATTTTTAGTTCTTTAAATTTTTGGATAAATTTATTTTTAATCTCTTTAATTTAAAACTATTATTTTTAGTTTAGTAATTTTTAAAAATATTTTTAATTCTATATATCATTAATAATATATTTGAAAGTGATAAATTAAGACAATTATCTACCATCAAATGAGGGTAATGTGATATTTTTATTAATATAGACATTAATAAGTACATTTTATGTAATAGTATTTCATATATTTTTTTAACAAAATTTGAGTATAACAATTAAAAGCATATTTTTTAAAATTATAAAGACTAAAAATACCGATTTTAAATTTGAATAATTAAAAATAAATTTATTTTAAATTTGAGGGACAAAAACATATTTAAACTTTATTTTTATTATAAAAATAAGCTAATAGTAAAAGTTAGTAATTTTTTTTTATCTAACCTAAAATTGGTCTCAAGTTACTTTAACCCAAATCCAATTTTAAACCGAAATTTATTTTTCAATGTGAAATAAATTGGTGAAAAATTACCCAATTCACACTAACTAACATCATTTTAAAAAAATTTAACGTGAAATCATTTACGCACTAAATTGATCAAGTTAAAAAAATGTTGTTGAAACCAAAATTGTTGTTTATATAATTGGTGAACTAAATTGTTTTTCTTTCAATATAGTTTGTTTAGCCTATATTTAGAATTAAAATGTTAAAATTGATGCAATTTAAATGTTACAAATTTACAATTCAATTTGAATATATTGCTAATGTAATTTAATTTTATACCATTATTTAATCATAAATTATAATAAATTTACTGACTTTTAAAATAATAATTATTTTAAAAGTCAATTTAATGATAATTTATAATTAGTTAATAATTTTGAAATATTTATACTAACGGCACATATCAATTAAACTTACAACTCATTTACAGTTTTAAACTAAATGATAATTTTAATAAAGAACTAACTCGTTTAAGCTCGTGACAATAAATCTTAATGGATAAAGTATCATCTCATTCAATTTATGAAAATTCGTAACCATACGTTAGACGCGATAGGCTTAACCGGAAAGTTCGTTGAACAATCGTTGCTGTAATGTAACACCCAATGTTGGGATATTAGGTCAGAACGAGAGGTAGTATGCTAAGGAATTTATAAAGCAATTAATTGTTAGGCATGTGTAACGAGCTACATCAAATATATAAAACAAACTGGATCAAATTGAAATAGACCTACGTGTGTCGCATTATTCAATTCGCTTAGGAATCATGATGACCAACTTAATTGTCTCAATTTCCATTTTATATATATTTTCCGATCAAATATTTAAATTGTCTACAAAATTATGTGAAGGAGGACGATGGATGCATGTGAAGGCAAGAACTCGTTTGTGATGATATTTCAAAGTAAAGTCACACATGGATAGAATAGAATCCTCCGTTACTTATGCTTAAGATCAAATTCATTACCCTAATTAAGCTAGCTAGCTATAGCTCGCCTCATGTCAAATTGTAACCTACAGTGCCCAAAAAATAAATAGATCAACACTAGCAATGCAATGAAATTGGATAATGAAAATTAAGGAATTAGCTGGCCTCGGTCCAAAAAAGCCAGCAAAAAGCATTTTGCTTAGTTTTGTGCCCATCAATTTTATTTGAATACAAGAAGCCACGAATCTTCATCCCGCTGCCTTGCGTAATCACTCATCCAAGACTTGAATGGATAGTGTCAAGACAAAATTTTATCAATATGAAATACAAAATGCCAAAGAGATGGTGGCTTCAATGGCGTTTTTTTTTTTTTTTTTTTTTTTCTGCGTTTAACCAACCATTTCTTAACCCTTTTCGATCTTATTCTTTTTGAAAAGAATTGAGTTTGGTAATTGATTAACGCCCACGGTTCTTCCATTGCAATAAGTCATAAATAAACAATATATATTGGGAATCATGTAACATGAGAGCGAGGATGATCCATGGGCAGCATCTTATGCACACGGTTTAAAGTTGCCTATGGCCCTACAACAGTGCATGTGCATGTGGTAGCTATTTGTTCCTTAAATTAACAAGGCAATGCATATAGATAATATATGTTTCCGCGATAATAACGTGTTATCCCACTTTAACTCACTTAAAATAATATATTCATTTTCCAAATCCAAGTCTGTGAAATCACAGTCACTCTTATTAGTGATAATATATATATATATATCATAAATTCTTTTGTACATATAAATAAATAACAAAAGGAAGGGGAGATTACGTGTTAGATTACATTATTTTTTATGTAACGATAAACTACACCCCCATTTTAGGATGAAAGGAAAAAAAAACAATGAAAAAGGGGGAAAAAATGGCAAAATTAATAAGAGATGTAAGAAATGAAAAGAAAATGAGATTAAAAAAATAAAGAGAAAATCAGTACATATCTATATTTATGATAATTTTAACCGAATTCAATTGATTGTAAAAAAGTTGTTAGTAATAATTATATTTTAAGATGTTAAATTTTAAATTTTAAGGCTTAAAAAATAAGTGAAGGATGAAGTTGAGAGGGTTGGTAATTATAGAATTATAATATTTATATATTTATATTGTGTTTGATAGCACGAAATAGCGAAAAAAGAAAAAGAAATTCATTGTTGACACGTGTTTGAGTACAATGAAATAACGGAGAGTAACAAAATAGTTATTTTTAAATTAGCTTGAGCCTCACAGCAAAAATCTTTGTGGGCGAAATTGAAGACCACGTACACATCTATTTAAAATAATGAATTATATGTAATCATGTACTCTATTTAAATATAAGGTTAGAAATGTTTTAAATTTTTTTTTTTAATTTTTAATAGAAATACTCTAAAAAATATTAATTTATATCTGACTAAATTGATAATTAATATGAAAAATTGCTCTATTAAAAAAGACCTAAATATTGATTAAGTCAAAGTATTTAAAATATGTAATTTGTCTCTTTTTCTTTTTAGTAAAGACCTCCTATTATTTATGAGTTTCATGATTTTTGTAATTATCACTCTAAAATTTTGAAATTATCGATATTATATTATGAAATTTAATTTATGTATTATTGATGTTAGTTCTCGACTTAATAAATATCTGATCATCCCTAAACTCTGTTTATTAACTTAAGCACTGCCGTTTGGAAATATTTTTAAGACACATACACTATGTTTCGTAATATTTCTTTACTACATCAGTTAAAAGTAATTAAAATAATAATATATTTTTTTTTCTCTCAATTTTCAAATACACGGTTAACTTTTCTTACGCATGTCAATTTTATTTTTATTTTTCATCGCATTATTTGTCCTATGTATTAATGTTGTATTATTTCTTAATCTTAAAACCATATACACAAAAAGGAAATAAAAATAAAAAGGAGGGTTAAAAAGGGAAAAGTAGGAGCTGGTATTTGTCTGTGGCGGGTGTTCACGAAGTCTGCATTTTCGCCCTATGGCTTGGGAAGCATGAGATGAAAGAGGGGATCTGCTTAAGGCTGGTGCACCTCACCACAGCAGAATCTTTGGAGGGGTTGGTGGGTGCTGTGTTTCTTAGTTGTATTGTATTCCTATATATATAGGATTATATGGTATGTTCCCAACACTTCCCATGTGAGTGACCCTCCTCTCCTCAGTCCTCAATTCTCTCTCTCTCTCACTCTTTCTCTTTCTCACTATTCCAGCAAGAGAGACTTTACTTTCCTTTGGAACACAAATGGCAAAGAATGTTGGGATTCTCGCCATTGACATCTACTTCCCTCCCGCATGCGCTCAGCAGGTCACCCCTCTCTCTTTATTGTTACTCCTCTTTTTAACGTTTTCAAAATCCCAGGAATGGAAAAACGCCACTGTCCATAATTTCGCCCGTTGGTTTCGTTTTGCAAACGAGAAAGGAATAATCTGAGTTTGGTCATATGCCGTAATCGAATATTCTGGAAGAATAAAATTGTCTGAGAATGCTTAAGAAAAAGTATGTTTGAACTGGAACTGGGTCAAAATCAAATCAATACTGCCACCCAGGCTTATGCTTTTGCCTAATAACGGTTTTCTTATAAAATCTACTTTTTCCAATCAATTTTCGTGGAACTGGAAAGTGATGCTGTTAAATCTGGGATTTGTTTTTCGTTTTTTCGCTTTTTGTTACATAAATTAACACTTGACAAGAACCGGTGTTCTGTTTTATGTTGTGACTAGAGTAGTAGTAAAGAGAAAACACGGAGCAAATTGTTGATTTCTTGTGGATTATTTCATTCCCATGGTTCTTTTCTTTTAAGCTATAAAATATTCTTAATGCCTCCGAAGCTACGTATATATGACCTTTTTCCTTTTCTTTACTGTTTTTAGTATCTCAATGATATAAGTTGTGGTAGCTTTAGCCTTTTTTGACTTTTAACTAAGGTTTTCATTTTTTTCACTTAACCACGTGCAGGCAGCATTGGAGACTCATGATGGTGTCAGTAAAGGGAAGTATACCATTGGACTTGGACAAGATTGCATGTCATTCTGTACCGAAGTTGAAGATGTTATCTCAATGAGGTTTATACTCTGATTTTGATAGTCTCTGCTTTTGTGTCTGATAGTGGTATGGTATGATTTGCTATTGTGTTTGGAGTAGTCGTTGCTTGTAGTTAGTAATTAGTATCCCTGCTTCCGAGTTATCCTTGTCAGTTATTGACTAGGATATTATAATACATCATATTTGTAAATGTTGATGGAAGTTTTACAACTCACAAGCTTTACCTAATGATGTGATGGACCCTCATTGGGGGACATGTAAATTGGTGATCTGGCATCCATAATGAAGATTTAGCTCTGTCAAAATTTCACAGGATACATGGAATAATCTGACTTACTTTGATGTTGTCATGATCCATTTAGAATCTCGCGAAGGTCATTAGATTTTTGCATTATGTAGTATGTACAACTAATATGGTCTCTTAGATTAAAACAAATCTTTTAGCCTCCTGGGATCTTTTAGACTTAAATTGTAGTTTTATTGTTTTATCTGTCTCGTGTGACACTAGACATGCTGTTGAACTTTGAAGCCATCCTAATATATGTTACACACAGGTTGCTGTTTTTTTGCATGTTTAGTGTTCAATAGGACTCCAGTTCTGAAGATTTATCTTCCGTACTATCATTAATAATTTTTCTAATCCCATGTCTTGAAGTCTAATAGTAATTATTGCATCTTCAGTTTGACTGTGGTTACTTCCCTTCTTGAGAAGTATGAGATTGATCCTAAACAAATTGGTCGTCTGGAAGTTGGAAGCGAGACTGTGATAGACAAAAGCAAATCCATCAAGACATTCCTAATGCAAATCTTTGAGGTATCCTTTCAAGTGTCTAAACACATGGATATTGGATATATGATTCTCCTTGTCAAAGTAGACTAACTTTCTCATCCTGTGATAGTAGTTAAAAATTAAAATAACTGCTTATTGATTCAACCTTAGTTTCAAGCATTTAATCTTGGACTGAAAGTTCTTGAAAATTTTGGGTTGTATCAAACCGGGCACACAGCTAAAGTGGCTTATAGCTAGCCGACAGCTGTGCAGCTCTTTTCATCCTAATACTAACCAGTGACCATCTTCATATGATGTTAATAATCAGATTGGGTTGGTTCTGTCATGTTATACATTTATAATTTTATTGATCAAATGATTTATTTACATTGATTTCTAATACAATATTCTTGTATTTGTTTGAAACAAACAGAAATATGGAAACACTGACATTGAGGGTGTTGATTCAACTAACGCATGCTATGGAGGAACTGCTGCTCTGTTCAATTGTGTCAATTGGGTGGAGAGCAATTCATGGGATGGACGCTATGGACTTGTTGTCTGCACTGACAGTGCAGTAAGATAGTTTCCTAATCTTTCACATTGCCTTTGGACTATAGAATGTGCTTTGAACTCTTATATGCAATAAGAACAATACAAGTTTCTGATTCAAAGTTCAAGATTATGTCAAGATGTTGGTGGATTAATTTCAAGCTTGTGTAAAATGTTTACTTTCTCAGGTCTATGCTGAAGGACCTGCTCGACCTACTGGAGGAGCTGCTGCTATTGCCATGCTAATTGGTCCTGATGCTCCCATTTCTTTTGAAAGCAAATTGAGAGGAAGTCATATGTCTCATGCTTATGATTTTTACAAGCCTAATCTTGCTAGTGAATATCCAGTAAGCTTTTCAATCCATTTTAGTTCTGTTAGAACATTTGACTTTTTGGGTTCATATACGTTGAAAAACCACTTGCAATCATTTTCCCTCGTGATTATCAAATTATCCTTGCAAGTTGCAACTTTACTTTTGTCTTGATATGCTATGAACTATGAAGGATAGCATTTGGTTGTTCATGTCCATTTACTTTTACCCATAACCCGCCAATAGTGTTTCAGGGTGCCAACTGCAATAAATCCACATATATTTTGTGCTGTAGGTTGTCGATGGAAAGCTTTCACAAACTTGTTACCTCATGGCTCTTGATTCTTGCTATAAGCATTTGTGCCATAAGTAAGTCTCTAATGTTAACTTTAGTTCTTATGAACATCTACATGTTTTATAAATATAGAATAATAATAAAATGGACCTATAAAATTGGACCAGTTCAAATTGATTGAAAGTCAACTGATTGAAGGAATAAGCTCAGCCCAATGAAAAAATACGAGTTTATTGCACATTTTGCTGGCTCAAAGTAAATTGCATCTGACCTGCCCTGGTTCCTAATGACAATTTTCTGTTACACTAAATCACATTTTTAAAATCTTAAATGATGTAATAATGTGACTTGTGCATAACTTCGAGGAAAAAGAGTTTCTTCTTTTGGTTATGCCAACAACACACTTGCAACATATTCTGTATTGATTGAAAATTAGTTGATCTTGTGAAATTATGAGGGAGACTGCTTGAATAGGAAGTGAGACCTACATTGTTTTACGAGTTCCAATAAATTTTAGCTAAAATTAGTGTATTAGAGTGTCTAGTTAGTATATTCTCATTTTCTAAATGGGGCCCATCGAAAGGTTTAAAATAGAAAGAACTGACTGTGAATGAAAGAATTCAAGCCAGATGGAATGCTGAGCTTGTCCAACAACATAGATAAGCAGTTTAAGTGACTTGACTCTACAAAACTAACAACACAGAAAAACCTTTCTTCTCTAGGTCATATAACACAGTGTCCTACTGATAAGCATTCCACTTAGTAGTCGAAAATAAATGAATCTAATAATATTTGTAAGAAGATTTGCAGTGTCCTGCTGAATGCTGATAATCAAGATCGGAAG